ATAAATGACTAGTAATTTGTTAATAGATTCCACTACTACCATGTTGGCACACAAACTAATATTGTAAAATTTTCATTGTATTATGGACAGAGGTGCTCAGCAGACCTTAATCAAACAGTTTTCAAAGAATTTGCCATCAGTCAATGGTTTTGATATTTTGCCTCAATGTGTGCAGGAACAAAACATATGTGAACTTTTGTTTCACTAGTTTAATTTGCTATACTGTCTACTTGGGCATTCATTTAGACCCAAAATTATCTTGGAAAAAGCAAATAAGTGCAGTCATTGATTAAGGACATTTGAGATCTAAACTACTCAAACATCTGCCTAGTATTGCTTGAGGCTTGACCCTAGTTGTTTTTTCTACAGCATATAAAAGTTATGTTTATCCTGTTGTTAAATATGTTAGTGGGGTTTTTATTACTACCTCTCACTCTGTTAGAAATAAGCTTGCATTTTCCAAAACAACCTGATTGATCACTGGTGGTGCATAATCGACTCCTATTGTTGCTATGGAATTGCAGACTAATTCAGAGCCTTTAAGTGAAAGATCCCAAAGGAGTTAAAAAATGCTGCTTTGGCTGCTATACATAACAGGTACCTTCTAGACAAATGGTTCCATGTTTATACAGATGGTTCTTCAGAAAATGTGATAAAAAGTCCTGGTGCTGGAGCTTATTCAAGTAATTTTAGTATTAGCTGTTCTGTTGGGAACTATTGTGAATATTTTGATGGAGAAATAGCAGCTATAACATATGTAATTGATAAAATAAAAATTGCCCAAATCAAAATATTGTGTTTTTCATTGATTCACAGGCTACTGTTTTTGTCACTTAACAGTCCTAACTATAATGAAAATGCCCAGGTTTATTATTCTCAAATGAAACTTTTTGAGCTAAGGGAAATCAGAAGGAGTATTGTGTGTATCAGTGGTAAAGCCATTGTGATATTTCTGGAAATGAGCTGGCAGACAGACTTACCAAGGCCAGATCCCATATGGCCCAACCTGATTCCCTATTAGAAGAAGTATATATAATAAAATGAAAAAGCAATATCTTTATATGTTGATGCAGCAGTAGATAATGGAATAGCCTGCTGAACAACAACAAAAAAATAAATAAAAATAAAAAAAAATAAAATAAAATCCCCACTTTCTTACTTCAGACTCTTGGAGTTGGTTGCTTTTGTTTGACAATTGGTTATGATTATTTACAGTAACATTTGCATCATATTGGAGTTAAGGATTCAGTTTATTGTCCTCTGTATCATCAGGATTATATGGATGGTGACCATCTCAAGAATTTCCCTATTATTTTAAAGTTTATTACAGATAACTCTGTCAAGGCTAATTTTTGCCTTTGGTTTTTTACACTCATTTTATTGGGCTGCTCATCAACTAATAGGAGAAATGCCGAAGATGTAACTTATTCTTCCTCAATTTGTTTTCGAATATTTCAAATTTGGTATACTTAATGCCATTAACTTTCTGCTATGTTGAATAAATAGTGTATAAATGGCTCTTCTTTTGATCTTAGTCAGTTGTCCTGCTTTCCACTTACTCTGAATGTTGTAAATTTTTCTTCACTTTTTGTGAATATGAGTTTTAACTATTATTGAATATTTTGAGCTCCTGAAGTACTCATTATTGTTTGATACAGGGCAGGGTTGCTGTTGGGAAATTGAAATGTATTAAGATAGGTATGCTTTGTAAAATTGTTCTTTGAAATCAAACTACTACTCATACTTTTTGTTTTGTACATGACTGTGATTCTTATTTTCTTATTTATAAAACTAGTAAGTATTGTTTCAAGAAATGACTTGCTTAGTTCTTGAATATTCTCAAAGTTTGGCGTAATTGCTGTTTTGTTAGATGAAAGGATTTTCAAATTCAGGTAAATGCTATTATTGTATTATTTTGACTCACATGAAGCTAGTACCAACACAAGTGAATGAAAGATTTGATTATTTAAATCTGAAAATCAATAAAATATTTAACATTATTAGCTAGTTTTAATGTTGTAATTTCACTTAATTATATGCAGAGTTTCAAAATGGTAAGTTTCCTTTCTTTGTCATTTTACAACATTTTCTTTTCATGCTATTATGATGTGTTTGCAAAAATATTGTTATTGAGCGAAATGTTAAGGCAGTGCAGTGAAAGATTAGGTGACTGTGTTCGATATTATTTATGCAAGAATGGGGAATTAATATGAGAAAGTTATTTGTTTTCATATTTATTTGTTTCAGCATCACTTCATATTAAAAAGGTTTTAATTAACAATAAAAAGTTGAAAGTTATATGTACAATGATGAGGAAAAATTAAAGGAACAACTGTAAGAAGATATTTTATATTAAATGCAAGTCCAGTGAAAAGTGGTTGGTAGCTCAAGGTCAACATTATCACTCATCCCAATGAATCCCACTGAAGTGAAGAAGTATGCAAATTTTGGTTTCTATTCTTTTGACACATGTGAAAAGGAATGCAAGGATGTGCTGGAAATTCTAATTTTAAGGGCTTTAGCAGTAGTTGGATAAAATTTTAATGTCTAGAAGATAGAAAATTTTGTTGAAAAGGTGTTTAATGAATTTTGTGGAAAGCCTACAAATTTATTTTGAAATGCGGGAATAAAACAGGATAGAAAGAACGCAGACTTTACATAGGTCTAAAGATTTAAAAGTACAAAAAGCATCATGTCAGGGAACAGTTTAAAGATACTGGGAATGTATACAGAATACCAGATCAAGGTCAAAAACATCACACAACAATCTGTGGACTGTATTAGCAATGGTTGCTAAAAGAAAAAGATTACTGATGTCAGCCCAGATTGCAGGGAAGTTCACTGCTGCTACAGGAACTTGACTATCCAGATCTACCGTGACAGACAAACTGTATAAAGAAGTATTGTACGAAAAGAAACTCATGATTTTTGTCCCACTAAATTGGGCTGCAAAATATCTTGCTGTGTTGGGTGCAAGATCATCATGACTGGACTATAGATTAGAGCCAAGTTAAATTTACTGGTGAGTTATTTCTGTTTAAAGATTGTTTCCAGGCAGGTTACAATCTGCTGTAAGCAAAACACATGCAGTAATGCAATAGGTTGAAAGCATCTATGAAAGGCATTAGTACAAAGATGGTGGAATTATGTGTGGGCGGGCATCATTTTAAATAGCCCCACTGACATACACATTTTTACAAGAGCAACAACAAATGCTGAAATGTACAGAGATTAAGCTCTTGATCCTTAGATCAAGTTGTTTAGGGGTTCAGTTGGTGATAGCTCTCATAATGAATGATAATGCTTGCATACAACATGCTGCATCATTTTGAGGGTGAAGGAATCCAGTGCCCGGTGGTACTTGTGTGAGATGTATTAGAATGCCACCTTACATCATTGCTGCTTTACCACCTAGCATTCTTCAGAATCTTGAAGGCACTATTCAGTGTGAATGCACTTTATTACCGTAGGAATTCCTGGATAATCTAATATGCAGTTGAAAAAATTGCTGTAAAATTTGCATTTCAGTCATGGTTGGCCACACACATTATTTTTTTTCTGTGTTATAACACCAACTTTTCTCTATTCGAATTTGTATCTAATTGGTTGCAACACCAATTTTTTTCTATCCCAGTTTATATCACATTTTTATTTAAATTTATTTTTTGCAGAAATAGGCAGTTTTGCATTTTGAGGTTATGTCATGCATGGCAAAATGAACATTTTGTGCAATGCATGTTCTTGGATGTAAAATCATTTGTATGAGTTTTTATGGTTGTTCCTTTAAGTTTTCACACCAGTATGTAACACCTATTTTCCCTTTAAACTGCACTTTACTTTTGGCAACAGTATGTTTTGTGTTATGTGGCTTAATAGAGATGATTTTGAAAATGTGTCTCTGGACATATATAAAAATCTGTTCAGGTGCTACAAATGATAGTCTTGTTTGTTTTCAAAGTGGAATTATTTTGAAACGGAAGTTAACTGTAATTCCCACCCCTTTGATATATTGAGAGAACTCCTGTGTAGGTAATATAATATTTGAAATTGCGCATTCAAAGGGAATTTCTACATGCATTAGACTTGTTTATTACTGATTTTTAATAACAGTGCAAGTTTTTACCAAAACGTTTTCCTCCTGTGGTAAGTAGTTCTTGTGTGTTTTACTACAATCGATCATTTATCAACATGTTTTTTCATTTATGATGTTATTTAGCTAAGAGATTTTGTAATCGTACATATAGTATAGTTTGTACGCCACTAGCGACTGTGTAGATAAAACCACTGGATACTTTTAGTTCAACCTGTGTTAAAATCATGAGGAATTGGCTGGCTGTATTATAAATAATTATATCTTATTATTCCATGACATGTAATATCTGAATAAAGATGGAAACATGAATTTGTGAAAAAGCCAGATGAAGAATATTAGTTGTGAAATACTAAGTGAAAATCATGGTTGGGGCTTCTCTCATTGATAACAATCTTTGGCACAAAATATTCTTTATGGCTTGATTTATTTCTTGAATTAAAATTGTGACTCCATAACCAACTATTCAAAGCATATCTCATCATGTGTATTTTTGAAATTCTGTGCATAATGCAATGAATTTAAGGGAAATTATAGCATTGAATGCTTCATTGATTTTGAGGCATAAATAATCAAATTTTCCACACTTACGTTACTACTAGCTTTATGTGACAAAATATTAAAATTATAGACTTATATTACCATCACAACAGTGTGTCAGATTAAAATCATGTCTAAACAGGACAGAGCAATGCCATTTGCTTTAGAAATGATTCTGCAATACTCATGAATATTTATTTTTCAATCTTATGCTTTATGTAGGATAATGCTAGAAATATTCATCTTATCATTGCTACTACAGTTGTTTTGATTTACCAGTGTTTTAGAAGTCTCAGTCTCGTGGAAGACTGCCATTTTGCCTATATATGTATATATAATATGTAACAATTTTTTTTTTAAAATTTTCTAGAATGAAGAAATAATTGAGCTGCAGGATGTTCGAGTGTCTCCAATACCTTATCTCCGCCGTAGAAACCAAACTTCTGCATATTCATCGGACACTTATTTTCCACCATCCTTTCGGAGAACACGCTCACACTACTCCCAAGGTTTCAATCGAAAATCTTTAGAGCGTAATTCTGAGAGGCACAAGAGGCCTTATGTATTGAGCAGCTTAAAGAGAGGAGCCAGTGCTTTAAGGGCTTCTATGCCAAAAATTAAAGACATTAATAAGATAGATAAATTAGCTCGTATTGTATTCCCTGTGTCATTCCTATTGTTTAATTCAATATATTGGTGTTTTTATGTATTTTAATGCCCACACTGAAAGTTTTCACTCAGAAGTGCAATTAATTTGCTATTTTTATGTCTGAAAGACTCATTTCATGTATTTTTAATTTTATTTCGATCACATTTGGTAAAAGAAGAAAAAGTAAAGCAGTTGCATATATGTGTGGGGAAATAAATGATCTTTCACTTATTTTCCAGCAGTGTAATAAAGCAAGTCATTTCAAACCGTGTATTGTATTTGAATAAATTTTGCTAGTTTTCAATTTATACAGTTTTCCATTGTAAAAAAGAAATAAAGATTCAAATACTTAAGAATATAATATAAGATAATACTTTTCATCATATTTTTCTGTACTTGAATCTCAGAGCACTAAGAGACGTATCAACAATTTCTTTGGCTACAAGTATACGTATGAAAAGGTGAGGAGTTGCATAGTAGGAAAAGAGACAACTATTTATTTCATATATATTCTATCATATAGTTAGTATTAAAAAAAACTAATGTAAGCTTAAGAATAATAATTATTGTATTATACTGCTGAAATTTTTTAATATTCCATTCTAAAATTGTACTGTCATGTTAAATAGCACCAGGCTTAAGAATTTATTTCTTACATATGTTTTGGACAACTTTATGTGTATAAATATGTCAGTTTGCGGGATATATTTTTGTGCAAATCCACATGCAACATATAAAAAGTAAAATATCATCAAAAGAAAGTCTTTTATTATCATACAGGTAACTTTTAAATGCCTATTTATTATACAGTATGATAGATAAAGTTGTTAAAACTGTAAATTCAGAACAGATTATTTTAGATATGGTCAGCACGGAGAAATGTTTTTAATCTTTTGGAATGACATATAGTTCTGCACTTACTTAAAGTGGAGTATGCATATCATAGACATCACATATTTAACTTTGTGTACTACTTATATACATTCCCGCTGTAGTTATAGGCAAAAGATAACCGGCAATGCCCTTTTCAATTGCCCAAATATCTAGATTTTTTATGAAATGATATTTGGGATTATTTATTTATAACATTATTCCAAACATCGTTAAACAATAATGAGCAGTAATCTTTTATTAGTAATAAATTTTACCCTAGAAATGATATCAAGCCTCATTACACAATAATGAACGTTTTCTTTTTAAAAAATATGGCATTCATTTAATAAAGTAAGCTTTCAGCAGATAATTTTTATAAATAACTATGATATCAAACATCATTACACAATAATGAGGATTTTTCTTATTTAAAAGTAAGTCATTCATTTTAATGAACAAAGCTTTTAGCATGAAAATTTATATAAATAACTATGTGACATCAGAAAATTTCCAGTGGTTTGACAAACCACATTTTTTTTTGTTCTTTGGTGATATATGATCTAAGTCATTGCATAGTTAAGAAAACTTGTACTTACTGTTTGTTTACCGTTGATAACTCATCCCATATAAAATTGTGACTTTGTTACTTAATATTGGGGGGGGGAGTATTCTGCCTTGTAAAAATTTATAAATGACTTTTCAAGTTGTCACTTCAGCTAGTAACAATTCATTTTGATCATTTACTTTGAATTGATTAGTTTTGTGTGTATTTTAAAATCTGGAATAAATATATATTGATCAATATCTTCTTCTTAATATTTACTGGTATTTCACATTCAGAGCAGCTTTTATAATACCAAAAGTGTAAGTTAATCTTAACCCATTCAATACGGGCATGTCATATGTGCATCAGCAGCGAACATTACCTCACGGCTGGGCGTACCACATTTGACTTTTTAGATAGAACGTTTAATTAGTATCTTTGATTGCCACTAGATGTAGCTGTACGTCTGTTATGCGGAAATATATCGAAAGTTAAGTATGTGTACCTTCATTCCTAAGCAATGTTTTTTTTTGGCTATTTTGTTTCAGAATGAGGGGGAGATTTGTGGGTGGATGTTGAGCAATGTAATGTCTCTAACTGCGTTGTTTGATATAAACAAATGCATGTGTTCTCGATGCTTTGAGGTACTTTTTATTTTGATTTTTGCGATATAGGTATCTGAACGTAGAAGAATATACACAAATGCTAATTCGTTAGTGTTGAGTAACGTGATTGCTCTTACTGAGTCTATATAAACAAATGAACATGTTCTCGATGCTCTGAAGTACTTTTTAATTTAATTAATTTATTTTATTTTTTTATCTCCGTATAGTGGAGTGGATGTTCTATCATTAGAGACTTTTTTATTACTGTTAGATTTTTCCGGCATTGAGACGAATATTTTGTATGGCTTAGTGAAATTTTTTTTAATGTTCTATTGCTGGTGTTGTGTTTTTTAATGGCAAAACAAAAGCACTATCTAACCGTAGAAGATACACAAATGCTAAATGAGTTAAATTTGCTGATATTTTATTCCTGTGACATTTGCAACGTTGGATTTTGCGTACACCCAGGTTTCAAAGAATATCATACACTGTCTCTTTTTTGAAATATTGCTTCCTTTTCATTGTTTTCACATTGAATTTTTATGAAAGACAGTTTTAATATTTTTAAATTTGAATTTTTTATTGTGTTAAATAAAATCTGCGGTTGTTTGGATATTTTCCCATATATATTTAATTGTGGGATAAAGAAAAAATTATATTATTCTAGAATGAGTATTTTATAAGATTTTTAACGAAAATATAACAATAAACGTTTAAAATTAATTCTGACAACTACCTGAATGTTCTTCTCAAAATGTACCAAAAATTGGAACAATTGGATGACAAATTTAATTTATATGAATTTTTTTCGGAAGTTAGGCTTAGCAGTGCGAATTGTCCATCCTCACAAGATGACATATCTGGTTAATGTGCTGTCCCAAAAGACAGAGGTGCCCGTCGTGAACAGGTTAAATTATGTCTGCATGCTTCAGCATGATATACGTGAAAATTAAACATTACAGCATTTATTGATCTACAACACTTTGACACAGGCTGGGAAAATTTCTCCAAGATGCAAAACAATATAATATGTGCGACACAGTTTACATTGCCTGCAACATAAATGGAAAATCATTATTCCCATAATGAAAGATGTTTTGCCATTTATTTTAATGCTTATTTTAGAGTGAACTAAGTTATCCTGATGTGCAAAGAATTTGTGCTACGTAGTACTGTTTCCAGTATGGAATGTGGTCATTGCAAATAAATGGGAAAGAATTATACAGTTTGATCGTGTTATTTGAAAGAAGCTAAAGTAACCCCCTCCTTGGTCGGATTTTTTTTTCCAAATTTTTTGCCCCAAAAGTACTTTTTCATTGCTGAAAATGAATACATATTCTATCCTAAATTTGAAAATGCAAAATAGTTTTGACGGTAAGCAGTTTTTATGGAGCTACAGGTGATGAAATATATGATATCCCGTCCGCTGATCACCAGTTTTCCCTGCAATGCACCCAAGTTTTAGATTAAAAAATACAGTGTGATACTATATTTATTAACTCTATTGTTTTGATGTGTTTAATATAAATATCTACATAAAAATAATTAAAATAATTGCATAAAAATGCTTTAGAAAATGTTTTTCAATCTTACTATTAAAACAGCTTTACAACCTGCATTGGCCATCAGAGCATAAAAACCACATTTATCACTAAACCAAAATCATTTATTTAATCCAAAAAGTTGTTTTTTTTTTTTTTTTTTTTTTTTCTTTCTTTATCAACAAAATTGGCTATGAATGTCAAAATTATCTTGAATGGTTTTTAGTTGAAATTCTAACATATATCACATGGATATTTAATAACAGGTATTTAAGGTGGGAAATCTCACTGAGAAAATTGTGAAGAAATTAGGACTAGTCGTACTATCTTTTAGTATTCAGAAAAACAGAAATAATCACAGAATTTAAAGCGACGAATTGTCAACGATGGAATTTTTCTCTTCGTCGCATGGTGGACGACGGCGATGTAACGGAAACAAAACGCCAAGCGTGTAATGTTGAGCGACGCCGACCTAGAAGGGGTAAAATCTTTATCTAGAAGTGCTGATTTATAGCTTCTGTAGATTTGGGGGAAGATGAAGAACATAAAATGCCCCCTCGAAAAAGTATTCCAAAGTAGTTTTGAGTAATTGTAGGTCTAGTTATTTGCTTTAAGGATGATTTGGCCTTTTGATGTGTGTAGTATCTTCTCATTACAGTTATTCATGAGCGATTTCTGCAAAAGAGAAAAGGTGTGGTGGTCACATTTTGCAGCTTTCAGTAATTTGCCCTGCCTAAGGGTCACATAATTTTGAACTTCAAATTTTAGAGCTAGTCTATTACAGTTGTAATTAATAATGTTATGTATACTCAACTATCACAAATTTATAATTGTGTCTGATAAAATTCATCAGTTATTAATAGTATATTATATTTTTTGAAAATTTCAGTGAAAATTCTAATCTGTATTTACAAAGAAGTATTAGTTTAAATTTCATAACAGGGGGGGGGAGAAAAATATGTACAGAAATCTAAAATTGTTTACTAATCAATGAAATACTGCAGCAGTTAAAATGTGACAAATTAATTGCCTTCATAAATTGTTGTAGGAAATCTGTGCCAGCCACAACATTACCTAAGATTTAGGGTTTAGATGATGCTTTTTACCTGGTGCGGGAAAGCAAAGTTTGGTACATTGTTTACACTCGATGACTTAACTTAAGCCAGTGTTCCACAGATCCCGTGATATTAAGTTCTGATTTGTATCTGCCAGGAAAGCGTTTGGGATGAATTTTTGTGACAAATGGTCATCGAAACGTTCTACCTTTTCATCAATCGTGTGAATATATCCTTCAACACATTTTAGCAGTTTATTACTGCACCTAGTTTGATTCAGGCTTTTGACCAATCTCCAAATGGCTCCATCATTCAAATTTCAATTCTCAATCTTGTCATTCCACATTTTCCCCGTACGATGAGTTTGTATAATATTTTGGTATGACTGTTCAGTGTGCTAGATCTGTACATCCCTTGTTCTGCCAAATTCCTTTCCCGATATATGAGGTAAGTTTATGCGTGTTCAGGTTGACATTTCTCGTTCCCTGGTTTTTAGCTTGTTTTAGGATATTTGTAAACTCATCGACAACACGATCAAAGTCACTTTACAATCTGAGGGAGCCGATATTGAAATCGGATGTAATATTATGTTACAAATTCTAGTCCGTTATTTGCACAGGGGTCAAATTCTTGGGTTTGTTAGCACCTAAATGTGGCAAAACAGGCCTATGGTCTGATGATGTAGTTTAATACAAAAAGCGCCATGTGTACCTTAATTGTGGATGTGTGCAATATCTCGTGACACATGTTGAGAATATTAGGCCTATATGCAGGTTCTTTCAGAACGTAGAGGTAAACCGGGTTGTTCGTCACATAGTCTTGAATGACTTGTCCGTTTTTGATTCGTTCAGTTACATTCCCAGTCGCAATGTTTTAGATTGAGATCTCCGCCTAGTACTTATTAGAGAGTCATCTCCGAGCAATTGCTTGGAGATGACTCTTTAAAACGATTGTCAGAGATGTTATATAGACCGCAGAAAGTTATAGGGCCATATTTGGCAGTTTTCTGATTACTTTCACATCTTAATGTCCTTTGGAAGTGCCAGAACTTCTGAAACATGATTCTAGGTTTCTTTTCACATAAATGATTCTCTGCCTGTTGGTGAAGCCTGCTACAGCGGTACATGAAGCAGTCGACTAGCTTTAATTTGTAAGAGGTATTAGCATGAGTCTCTGTTACAAGGCAAATATCCGCATCATGGTGTAGTAGGAATCGGTGGAATTCTTACAGTTTGTTGGTTATATTTCGTGCATTCCACAGAAGCACTTTTATGAAGGCACATAAGATTGGGTGTAATTTTTCAATGTGCTCTGGTAAGTTCATGGCTGGATTTCCCGCGGCCGAAGCGATAGGTATGGACTTGGTTAGGGTTTGAAACATAACCAATGATTTCCAATAATTTGGCTTCGTCCAGTTTCTTGGTTAGCTCATCGAGTTGTGAAAGAGCTAGCTAAATGGGTGGAATCTTGCTATTACTTATAATGATTTCGTCATAATATGAAAACCCTCGGCAGTGAACTCTTGAATTTCTACCGAATTTGATAAACTGGGGAGGCTTCCTGTACCCTTTTTAAGTCCTTGTCACAGGCGAGCCGGCGAGTTTGAGATTTGAAGGCACTGCTATCCAGCAGGGCTGTAACTTCCGGTGAGCATGAAATGACAATGTTTACTATGGCATTTATTATCTGCTTTCTCTTGGGCTTTATAATTCTGTATATTGGAGTCCTCCAGCAGTTCAATAAGCTTTTTCCAATCCTTTGTCACAGGGAGGGGGGGCAGTTGAGAGCTCCTACTCGAGAAGCCGTATTCTCCTTCATGTGTACGCCCTACTGTTCTTCATTGGTTGCCGGTTCTACGCAGGACGGAGCTTGTATTGGAACTGCTTCCGTAGCGGCTGCAGCTTGTTGGGTGCATTCCCCGTTTCGAGTCCTTGCTTAGCACTAGAAAGACTGAAACGTAGTATATACCTATATTGCCCAAAATAATTAATGTGAAAGAATAACTAATGTGTAAAGAAATTTGTTTAAAATTAATTTTTAATAATTTTTATATTATTTA